ATATATAATGTAATATGTTAAAAAAATTAATTTGTTAAAATAAAATTTGCAGCATGTATGTTTACCTTTTGTATTTTCTATTTATTATATATGTTGATTAAAAAAAATTAAAATAGAAAAGATTGAAAGATTTATGTTCTATTTAAAACTTTTATTATAAAATATATTTTAAAATAAAACTATCATCTAAAAATATATATTAGATATTAAAAACATATTTATATCATAAATAAATTAAACTTTATTTTTATAAAATTTAACATGTTTATTTTTATATTTTTTTATTAGTGTTAAATTATTATAAAGTAGGTATTTAGGATTGTAGTTCTAATCAAATATTTATGACAAATAAATAAATCATACTTAGGATATATATTTTTTTTTAAATTATATTCAAACCTACTAAATTATAATATAATCTAGTATGACCTAATTTATTTTCATCTTTAATTGTAATCGTATATATAAAAGCTTGTAAAAATAATTATGACATATATTTATACTTTTAAAAGTTATATGTAAAATTTTTAATACTACAAATATATAAATAATTATTGCCCCCACTATCTAAAGTTTCTGGATCCATCACTACAACCAATTATGTCTTTTAATTGTGCTATGTCACTATAAACACATTTACTTTTAAGAGTGACATGACACAATTAAAAGACATAATTGGTTGTTAGTATAAAAAAATATTTACACTGGCAGTATATAAGTGATTAACTCTTTAAGAAATGATAAAATTTTGAAAGAAAATCTCATTTCATCATCCTCGCAATGGCTTATGTTTTCATAAATGTGTAGAGCACTCAACTTGAAAAGGGCTATGCTCTGACCAGCACCACCCACATGCACTCCAGCGCCAGTCACTCAACAGAAGAAAGAATATTATTGATTTCTGTTACATGTTTTTGCAGATAAACAAGCCTTTTCTTCCATTGGCATCAGGAGAGTTTTCTTTCACAACTGGTGTTATTATTGTTGCATTATTTTTAATTAAGGTATTATATATCCTATTTGGAAACTTGGATGAACATCATGTCTCGTACGTGATTTTTCCTCATTATTAATATAAGTTCTTTTTTTCTTTTTATTCTATGGAATCAATTAGTTCCCCTGCTAAAAATTGTTACAAACTATATTTTCCAAACCATTTCATTTTAATATTTTCCTTTGTTTATATCCTCTGGCCTATGGCCATGCCTTTGTTTAACAATCAACTTTTTCTCTGAATTAAATTTCTATCTCATCTTTAGAAAGATCTACAATCTTTTGGAGCTGACTTATGTAATGGTTATGAAATGATCTTATATCTTTATAATGAAACATTGAAACATTTCATCAAAATAATAATTTTCTTATCATTGAATCTGCATTGGATGCGCATGCCTCCAATATCCTAGTGATTGAACTAACCCAACATGGTTTGAATGGTGAATATTAATGAAGGACAAAGTACGATAGAAGTAATTTCACCTTTCTGTATAGTTTTACTAGTGATATATTGTTTAAGATAAGCTTTATGACAATAAGGTAGAAGGAACAGTACTTATCGTTTTATTTTCTTTTACAGAGTTTTGGAGTTGGATGGATTGCTGGTTCATGGCCATTGTTATGGGCTCTTATCATCACCTTTTTGATTGGGACCGGTTATTCGATCGATGTTAGTTCATTAATTAGGAAGACATTTAAATTACCTTTTTCATCTCATATATATCATTCAAGGAAAATTAAATTATTAAGGGTTACTGTACAATTGGTTCATTTCAATATAAACAAAAGTCGTGTTGTGCTGTGGTCTTTCAGGGTTTAGTGAACATTATGCAGTCTTGTCAAAATACTGGGCAATAAATATTATACATTATTTGCACGTACTTTTAGTATTTACATATACTAATATATAAAATGTTACCATAAAAACAAAATATATATAGATATCAATTTGTTTGATATATAGACAAGTTTTTTTAGCTATCCTATTCCTTATAGGAAGAAAATAGTGTATATTAAAGGAAGGGTTTAAGAAGTGAAAATATGTGATACAAGCTAGTTTATTAGTTTTCTGATTGTTCTGTATGGAAAATATATTAATAGACACTACAATTATTTTTGAATAACTTATGTCATTGACCATTTTTCAGTTGCCCCTATTGAGGTGGAAGAGATTTGCAGTGCTTGCAGCCATGAGCATCGTAGTTGTTCGGACAATAATAGTTCAATTTGCATTTTTTCTTCATATGCAGGTGGTTTTGACCTACTAAATTGTACTCTTTGAAGTTGTAATGGATACTCGTACATTAGGTTTTGTACACATAATTACAAAAGCAAATCTTTTATTCAATTTTTTTTGGGTTGATTTAGTTGAACTCATGATAACAGTTATAGTTTTCATAACATATTGTTACTATGTACATCTTAGTTTCCTATCCAACAAAAGAAACCTTCCTACCGATTAAGTCAAATGTTTTCTTGGCTGCTAATATATGTGTGTAAAATTAATTTATATATGCAGATGCATGTGTTTAAGAGGCCAATTATATTTCCAAAATCATTGATTTTGGCGACAACGTTAATGGGCTTCTTCTCTTCGGTTATAGCATTGTTCAAGGTAAAAAGGTTAAAAGTTTATCCATGTTATGCATGTGACCTACACCATACATGAAAGTAAGAATTACCTTTTATTGACTTTTATATAGGATATACCTGACATTAAAGGAGATCAAATATTTGACATTAAATCTTTTTCGGTGCGTTTCGGTAAAAAGCGGGTATGATCTTCTCATTTAACATTTAAGATGAGTTGGTTTTGTCCTCATGTATTCATATTTTCCCTAAAGATGTTTTTTTCCTTTTATTCAGATGTTTTGGATTTGTGTTTCACTTCTTGAAATGGCTTATGGAATTGCCGTTATGGCGGGAGCAACATCTTCCAATCTTTGGAGTAAAATGATCACAGTAATGTGCTAATTACTTGCATTGATTATCATATAGTTATGATTATATAATAATCCTTTAGTAGTTTAAGCTTCAATGTTTTTTTTTTTGGTGTCTAGATTATAAGAATTTGATTTTGATTAACATGTTTTAGAAAAGAGAATTTCAATGAATTTGATTTATATACCTTCTTTAATTCCACATGCTGCATATTGTACATTAGTGGTTGGTCAATTATCAAAATTTAGCACTTGTCTTTTTTTTTTTTTTTTAAGCAATATGTCGTCAAGAAGTTTAAAAACGCACGACTCCCCTTCATTGATGTACATATATTGTATCAACTACAGTACTAAAACAAGAAGATTCCTCCCTTGGAAAAAGCAATCTCTGTTGCATAGAATATCTTGACTTTTATATATATCTATATGGTCTTTGATTTTAGTGTTAAAGGGTAAAATGGCTCCTTCAAGGAGTGAATGTGGATATATTTGATCATTTCAATAAAATTTGAATGTTATTTTCACTTTCACTGTGTTAGGTTTTTGGACATGGTCTTTTGGCTTTGATCCTCTTGTATCATGCCAAATCTGTTGATCTGGAAAACAAATCTGCCATAACATCTTTCTATATGTTTATCTGGAAGGTAATCATGCATTAACCTTATAAGTTATTTATCACTTAAAGAACTGTTTTTCAATACTAATATAATACATATTGCTTAATAAGGAACTTTAACTTATACAGTGATTATTCAAAAGAAATAAGCCATTTAACTACTTTTCTGGCTTGTATTGATCGAGAATCAAAAGTTTTGTTGAATATATTTATTAACTTCCACTCTATAAAAAAATAGAAAAATTATTATTTGGTTTCCATTGGCTACAATGAAATATATATATTTTGACATAAAAGGGTTAAATTTCTATGAAAAACCACAGTAAATAATTTACAAACATATTTATCTTTCTCACTACTGATTGACTACTCTTTTCCTTTGCACAATCTCCACTTCTTAGAGCTCAATGGTTTCTAGCTCTTCAAAAGGTTCATATCTTGGGATCATGTTGTTTAAATGGGCAAGGAAAGGTGGTGGTGTTTCTCTCTTAGGAAACTACACAGGGAAAATTAATTTAATTCACAATTTTTTATTTATAAAAGTTAAGAGTACTAAACATCACTATAAAATTAAAACACCTTAACACCGCTAGCATTCCAAGGCATACCAATCATGTGCAACACTCCCTGAAATTTGTAATAATTTAATTCACAAATTGGATTCATTATAATTTGACTAAAAGAAAATTATGGCTCTATAATTTTGATCACTAAAGAAAAAGAAAAAAAACTGATTTTAGAACTTGTTTAGATGAACTTCGTTATAATTATTTTTAAGAAAAAAAGTTAAAAATAAAAATGATAAGATAAAATTATATTATACATAAATTAAAAAATATACTTTTGGAATCGGAATATAATACGAAAGAGTTTATATAAATTAATTTATTAATTTTATAAATTATACAATACTTATAAAAAAAAATTATCTAAAGATGCACATCTCTTGTACTTGTTAAGGGGATCACTTGTGCTCTTAACTCTTGTTAATGATGTCTTGTCTGTTTTGTTTTCTTCTTCCAGCTATTTTATGCAGAGTACTTCATTATACCGTTTGTTAGATAAGAAGAAAGTGGTGGTGACATCTTTTATTTAAGAAATGGTGCTCTCCTTGTAGCATGTGGATTATTCATTCAAAACTGATAAATATAAATAAAAAGTTTATGTACGTTGAAATCTCAATATTGTTTGTATTTAGTTCTCTATGTTAACTTTTTAGATGATCTTGTAATGTGAAAACTTTGTGTTTATTTATCCTTATAAATATTTACTAAAAATTTCGATTGAATCTCAGAGATTTAATATCTAGGGAGAGAAAGATAAATACAAAATTTTCACATTATTAAACAAGGTAAAAGTTTAACTTAATCCTCATAAACACTTTCATCAAAATTTTGGTTTGCCATTTTTTTTTAATAAAATGACAATAACTTTTTTATGAGGTCATTTGTGAAATTGTACCGATATTCTTTGTTTTTTTTTAACGTGAACAGTAACTTTTTACAAGTTGCGGTGTAATATTTTTCAAATAATTAAAGAGATTATTAATATAATATTTAAGAAACGTTAGGGTTATATTTTTTTTACTAGCCAATTAAGATGATTATATTATAGGAGTAGAATAATATAAGGAGTTTTTATGTAATTTTACGAAACATGATAGTGTCAATGTAATTTACTTTTATTTGTACAAGAATTGTAGTTAAAAATTTAGGGAAATGTGTAGAGATATTATAACATGTTCACTAAAATAATAAGTTTTTGTTTATATTTTACCATTTAAGTTATTAGGACATTTAAAAAAAATGTTTCTAAAAAAATAAGTATATGATGAAATATACACTCATCATTATTTGACTAAGTATTTTAATAAGTTATATTTTTAGCATCAGTAAAATTAATTGTTAATTGACAATTGTTACTTGAAAGTTGAGTAGTTTAGGAGGACATGTCAAATCAACCATTATGACATTCTATATTAGGAAGAGCTATACACTAGGATGCATCGAGACAAGTGTGTCGCACATGTTTCACCTCGTGCAATCAAGCGAATGAGACTGAGGCTCCTAAACTTAGTTATCCCCATGATCATGAATCTCAAACTTTTACACAAGAAAGATCTCTCTTAGCAGCGTATTTCTTATCTTATCCATTCAAAAATCACATATGCATATGATGTTTGTGTAAGATAGCACCACGTGCATGCAAGATGAAAGAAATCAACAATTACAAAAAATTGCTAGCACACATTCAACTAATTATAGAAAGAATTCTTATTCCATTTCATCAGGCATGAATACAACCTGTAGTGTCCGTATAACACTCATGAACAGAAAAGTGAGTCAGCAAGAAAGAGAATCTCAACTAATCTTTTCTCCCCCTCTTCACACCCAAAATTATTCTATTTATATTCAAGTTATTTCCTCACGTAATCCTTCAGCCACCCATGTTCCTTCCTGGATCACGCACTTTTATTCTTTGCCATGATTTCCCCACCTTCATCCATGTGTCCCATTTGTATCAGCTTGCCTATAACAGACTCCACCTCATCATTATTTTGCACCTCCTTACATTACTTCCCCCAACAAAATCGACCTTGCCCCCAAGGTTGAATGAGGGTATAAGCCCGTGCAATTACCTTAGTATCTTCGCACCCAATGGAAGTTATCTTTTTTTTTTATAGTAATTTAGTGAGTATGCCAACCAAGGTTGCATAACCTTTAATAAATCTTCTATAATAGCTTGTAAGTCCCAGAAAGCCCCTTAATTGTTTAAGACTGGCAGGTAAAGGCCAAGCTAAAACAGCTTGAACCTTGTCATCCTCCTTAGCAATTCTTGACCTTGAAACCGTGTGCCCTAAATATTCAATCTGCTTTTGGCTGGAAGGATATCTATATGGCTTCACTTTAATAGGATTCGAACCATGTACTAAAGGAATAACATGGTTATGTGATCTAGGAGAAGGTAGACCACACGGAAAATCAAAAACGTGGTGATATGTATGCAACAATAATGCTATCTCTAGATGATCTTGTGAATTGTTGGAATTTTGAAAATGGAGAGAATACATTTCCGTAATCGAATTAGTATGAAACATTCTTCTCAAATGATGAAATTGAGCCTAGGTAGGTAACTTGGTTTGTTCCCCTATTAGTGTTACAAACTTATCATCTAGCATAAATTTCAATGATAAGTTGCTATAATCAGATATGTGAGCACCTAGTGGGGCCAGCTAAGAAGCTCCAAGAACCAAGCCAGCACCTGATATAGGAAGTAAGTATGCTGGCAGCTGAATTGCATGGTTTTGATTTCTAACCTCCAATCTCTTAATAAGTCCCTCCATACCAAAGCACTTCCATTACCAACCATCACATTAAAATCCTGAATTGGTTCTACTGGTAGTTTAAGACAAGCAGCAATCCTTGGCTATAAGAAATTATCCGAACTTCCACTATCCAGAAGGATCTGCATAGTAAACCATTAATAACTCCTTTAAATCTCATAGTACCAATTCCAGCCGAGCCTTTAAGAGCATTGAAAGACAAGTAAGGTTCACTATGAAGCTGAGGCTTATATTACCTGTAACAACACTAGCATCCAGAACAGGTTCATCAAAAACTTCTTCTTCATCTAAGTGGAACCAGAGATATTGCTTATTAGGGCACTTGTGAGAGGGCGAGTATTTGTCATCACACATCAAGCATAATCCCTTCTCTCCGCAACTGAATCTCTACGGGAGACATCTTCTTCACCGTCGCACTTTTGTCTAGAGGAGTATGGTTTGATTTGGCCAATAAGGGAGGCAATGCAGTGGACTTTAGAGATTGTGAACTGGTAGGCGGTGATTGATTTTTTGTATGGATATTGAACCAATCAGATTTCTATTGGATAACATACTTTTCTTCAAAAAATTTAGCCAATGACACACATCTCGTCAATGTAGTAGGAGCCTGAACCAACACATCACGACAAATGTCATGTCTCAAACCACCCACAAAACAATCCAATAAAGCGTTTGTGGTTACACCTTGCACACGATTGGCTAGGGCTGTAAACTTAACATAATAATCAAGCACCGAACCTTCCCATGTAAGTTTAAACAAATCTGATCGAGGACATTCATAAGGTGAAGGGCCAAATTCCAATTTCAAAGCACGAGTGAACTCAATCCAACTATGAAATGCATTAGTTCGAGCCTACATTTGGAACCATGGAACCACTTCCTTTTCTAGATGAACAGAAGCAATGAGCAACCGTTGTTCATCCGTAGTTTTATAATAATCAAAAAACTGTTTCGCCTTGAAAATCCATTGTAACACCTCAGATCCATCAAACTTAGGAAAATCTAACTTGACATTACGAACTTGAAATGACGTAGATGGATAAACAGGACGCGAACTTGTTTCCAAAGCCTTGATCGATTTCAACACCGAATCCATCAAAGTCTCCAATGTCTCAAATTGAGTAGAATCATCATGTTGTCGTTCATGAAGAGCCGCAATCAAACTCTTCAAATCACGATCCGTAGCAACCACTGCATTGGCTAATTGCTTGACTTTGACAACAGATTCCTTCAAACGAGAAATCTTCGCTTGTAGCTCCTTCATTCGAGTATTCTCTGCCATGATAGAAAATGAAAGCACTAATGTAAGATAGCACCACGTGTGCATGCAAGATGAATGAAATCAACAATTACAAAAAATTGCTAGTACATATTCAACTAATTACAGAAAGAATTCTTATTCCATTTCATCAAGCATAAATACAACCTTTAGTATCCGTATAGCACTCCTGAACAGAAAAGTGAGTAAGCAAGAAAGAGAATCTCAACTAATCTTTTCTCCCCCTCTTCACACCCAAAATTATTCTATTTATATTCAAGTTATTTCCTCACGTAATCCTTCAGCCACCTACGTTCCCTCCTAGATCACGCACTTTTATTCTTTGCCATGATTTCCCCACCTTCATCCACGTGTCCCATTTGTATCGGCTTGCCTATAACGGTCTCCAACTCATCATTATTTTGCACTCTCCTTACAGCATGTCATATAAATATCTTATGGAATTCATGTTCAACATAACACAACTCACCCAAAGTATCACTTGTAGAGAAACAACTTTTAAAATCAATTGTTTTTAGGAGAAACCAATTTTGTTTTCACTAATGTTGTAGGGAGATACTTTAAAAATAAGGTTTTACAACCAATTTTAAAAGTACCATTCATAATCGGTTATTTATAACCGGTCATTATATGTGTTTTTATCAATTTATTCACGACTTCACCATTGTAGAAACCAAAAACTCACTTGCATTCATCACTTGGTCATCCCACGAAACTACTCAATGAAGTAAACAACAAATATTTTTTTAATATTAACACTAGTCTATTTTTTCAACAAATAAAGCAAACTACTGCCATTTTTCAACTCCAAATCTTAACATTACTCCAATTCCAACAAATAATTCGAACAAGTAATACAAGAATTTAAATCATGTAACATCCCGAATTTTCTACTAATAAAATAGTTAATTATTATTATTTTTATATTTATGAAAATTATCTTCTTATAGTTATTTTTATTAATTAAAGGGGTTTTATAGAACATTTTAGAGATTTTTAATAATTTAAATATTTATGAAAAAATTAAATTCTATTTTTTTCAGGCCTAGAACGGGTCGTTCCAAAAAGCCGAATGAGTCATTCCCATAAGCAGAATAGGCGTTTCAAAAAGTGGAACGGGCCGTTCCAGACTAATAAAATAGCCTAAAATCCTAAGTTAAAAACGGGTCATTCCAATTATGGTCAATGTGTGATAAAATCAACCCCATAATGAGTCGTTCTGGTTTTGAGAACGGGTCGTTCTAGTTGTAAAATTGGCATATAACGGATGGGTCCAGAATGGGCCATTCCGGCCACCCCTGATGCTTATAAATAGGAGGCTCAGGCTTGATTTCAAATCATACTATTCACTTCTGACTTCTTCTGATTCTAAACCTTCTAAAGACCAAGGAGAATTCAGAGGAGGAGATTAGCAAGGTTCTGCTCTAGTTTTAACTCCTTCTTATCGAGGTAAAGGGGAGTGAGAAACCTCGCTTGGGGGTGTGGGAATAATTATTGGGTAGTCGGATTGGCCCCCAATCACTTGCCTGATGCATGTTTCTAGGAACATGCAAAGCATGA